CCGTCAATCATGACGCGTCGACGTTCGGTTGAGGCAGGAAGTGCCCGAGCGGAAGGGTGGGGTGCGCCGCGGGAGGGACCCGGATGTGGCGCCGCGGGGCGTGATGGGAGTCGCAGTTCCGGGGGAGTCGTTCAACCCCTTAGTGAGGGCGCTGCTCATTAGCAGCGCTAATGAGAATCACAGAATCACGGAATTACAGAATCAACCAGGTTGGAAAAGGCCTCCGAGATCATCCAGTCCAACCCGTGACCCAACACCACCTTGTCACCAGGTGCCACATCCAGTCTCTCCTCAACCCCCCCCACCAAGGACGGTGACTCCACCACCTCCCTGAGCAGCCTGTTCCAAGGCGTGATCCCAAGAACTTCTTTCTAATGCCCAAACTAATCCCATCCCCACCCCAGAGCTGCTGCTGAGAGCCAGGACCCTAAGCCTGGAGTGGCTCAGGGGGCCGGAGCAGAAAGGGGTAGAGGTGCAGCGTGAACCAAACCCGAATTCCCTCCCTAATTCCATTCCCACCGTCCCTCTGAATCCTTCCATCCTTCCACAGCATCCTTCCCCAGCAGCTGGGACCCCAGATTCCCTCTCTCCGTTAAGTTTTCCACCATAATTAGTGCAGGGAGCCAAGGAGAGAGGCTCAACCACACTTTGGGTGTTTATCTCAGGACAACCACGAAATCCCGGGACAAACACACGCGAAACCAGCCACAATTTACAACTCGAGAAACAACTTGAATTTACACTTGAAGCAGCAATTTAAATTTACAATTTAAGGGCAGGCCAAAGCCCCGGGGACAACCCCTGGGCTCAGCCGGACCATCCCAAATTCCCGGCGGGTTTGAGGCCGTCCCTCAGTGGCTCAGCGACTTCCTGCCCTTGAGCATCCGGCGCAGGATCACGGCGATGCCGCCGGGGGTGCTGATCCTCCGGATCCAGCCGTGCGTCTTCTTGCGCTTCCTGTTGTTGGGCTGGTACTCGTTCCCTCGGGCTTTGCCGCGGAGCTGCTGGAAGCTCCAGGGAGGCCCCGGCAGGCGGCAGAGGGCGGGGGGGTGGCCGGGGAGGAGCTCCAGGGAGTTCGGAAGGAGCGGGAAGGGGCAGCGGAGGGCGCGCTGGAGCAGGGAAAACCTGGGGGGAAAAAGGGAGGAAGATAAAAGAGTGAGGAGAAGTAGAGCTGGGGAATAACGGGATAGAACCGTGGAATTGCTAGGGCTGGAAAGGACGTTGGTATTTGTCGAGCCCAGCACCGTCAAGGTCACCACCAACCCTGTCCCCAAGGGCCACATCCGCGTGTTTTATGGACAGCCCCAGGGACGGCCACCCCGGGCGGTGCTTCCCAGGGCTTTACATCCCTTTTCCATGAGGGAATTCCCACAATGTCCCACCTGAGCCTCCCCTGGCACAGCTTAGGGCCGTTCCCTCTCCTCCTGTCCCTTGTTCCCTGGGAGCAGAGCCCGACCTCCCCCCAGCTCCCCCCGCCTGTCAGGGGGTTGCAGAGCCAGAAGGTCCCCCCTGAGCCTCCTTTTCTCCAGGCTGAGCCCCCCCAGCTCCCTCAGCCGCTCCTGCTGCTCCAGCCCCTTCCCCAGCTCCCTCAGCCGCTCCTCATCAGCCCTGACCCCCCCACACCCCTCCCGCCGCCCCGGCCCGCTCTCCCCTCGCTGTCCCGCCGCTCTCCCGAGGGTTTCACCCCCCGTTCTCCCCCCGGGCAGCGGCACCGCCGGTACCTGCGGCCCCACACCGGGCCCAGCGCCGCCATCGCGCCCAGCCCGCCAACAACGCCGCTGCCCATTGGCTCCTTCCTGCCGGCCAATCGCAGCCGGCGCAGCGCCGCAAGGGCTGACGGGGCTTGTAGTCCCCGGGAGCTCGCACGGCTGTTTCCATGGCAACGGCCCCACCGCGGCCTGGTCGCCACTGCGGCACATCGACCCCCCTGGTTGTCCCCCCTGGTTGTCCCCAACTCTGTCACGACGTGCAGCGCAATACACAGAGATCAGGGAGACCCTTCCAGTGCCTAAAGGGGCTCCTGGAGAGCTGGAGAGGGACTTGGGACAAGGAGGGACAGGACACAGTGAATGGCTTCCCACTGGCAGAGGGAAGGGTTGGATGGGATACTGGGAAAGAATTCTTCCCTGTGAGGGTGGTGAGGTCCTGGCACAGGTTGCCCAGAGCAGCTGTGGCTGCCCCAGCCTTGGAAGTGTCCAAAGCCAGGTTGGATGGGGTTGGAGCAACCTGGGATAGTAGGAGGTGTCCCTGCCCATGGCAGGGGGTGGAACTGGATGGACTTTAGGGTCCCTTCCAACCCAAACCATTCTGAGATTCTGTGATTGCTTTTCTGGACCGATCCCAGCTGTATCCCAAGAGCAGGCACAGCTCTGGGCTTTTCCCCCACTGGACTTTTGTCCCGGCAGAAATCGGCCCGTCAGGGTGAGGAAATGCAGCTCAGCCATCCCAAAATGTGAAAACAAACCAAAAACCATCCCTGATCTCACGCGTGTCCTCCTCTCACAGCCCAGGGGGCCTTGGGTACTCCGACACCAGTGCTGAGCCCCGACACACTCATGACCCTGCCGTGCCCATGGCTCGGACACACTCGTGGCCTCTGGGAAGCCACAAACACCAGAATGTTCAGAAAACAAGCTAAAAAAGGACCTCTGTCCCTCATCCCACTGGAAGAGCCAAAACCCGGAGTGACTCCCAGCCCTCCCATCCCTCCCATCCCTAACCAGCCCCCCATCCTTGTCTACCCCCTCATCCCTGGCCCCCCATCCTAATCCAGCTCCCCCATCCCTGTCTCCCCATCCCAATCCAGCCCCCCCATCCCTGTCGGTCCCCCCCCCGGGCGGGCGCGGGGCTGTGCCGGGCAGAGCCGTGACTGGCAGATCCCCGTGTCCGTCACACGCGGATCCCTCCTCCTTAGGAGGGATTTCAGGGGCTTTCCATGGCTACAGCCTCCAAGGACAAACAGCCCCCCAAAGCCCCCGAGCCCCGGCCATGAAGCTGCTGGTGGGGAGAAGATGGAAGGAGAGGTTTTGGTGGGAAGCAGGTGAGCGGAGCTGAAGGGATCGCTCCCTCCCGCCCTCCAGGCGGCCCCCAAAAAATTGGATTTAGAGGGTTTTAGAGGAGCTGCACAGCCGAGCGGCGCCGGCGTCCTGCTCCCACCGCCTCGGGCATCGCCTCCTCTCCCTCTCCTTCGGCCTCCTGCGGGATTTAAACCTTTTATTCGCCTCCTCGACCTCTGACAACCCTCGGCAATAAATGAGGTGAGCGGCCCCTTCTCCCTCTCCGTGTTGGTGGAGGGCACGTCCTGACGGGGAGGGAGGGGAGGAAGGGGCTCTGCTGGGGGAGGGGGAGCAAAATGGCCAAAAAATGAGGTGGTTTTTTTTTTTTTTCCAACGGGAAGGGATCTGAGAGGCGCTCGGATTGCAGGGAGCTGGCAGCTCCGCCGGATTGCGGGGAGAGAGAGGAGCCACAGCATCGCCTGTGCTTTAATAACCCGGTTCCGTTCGGCGCGGCTGGAGCGGTGGGGGGGGGGTTATCCTGGAAATCAAACTTAAGGAACGGCTCCCCCCGTGATGCAATGGCACCGAAGGATTGCTGGCTCTGCCCGAGGCCCCGCTGTCGCTGCGTGCGTGCCAAATCCGCCTGGAATTTCGGCCGGGGAGCGAGGGGGCACCTGCCCGCGCTCGGCTGCCTCCAGTGCCTCCTTCCCGAGCCTCCTTCCCATGGTTCCTCCCAGCCCGCTGCCGGAGGGATCCAGCCGGCTCCGCTGCGGCTCTGCGGCGGGAGCTGGAGCGATCCCCGCGGAAATCCAGGCGGGATTTAGGTGGCACAGGAGGTCAGGCGCAGGTTACTCCGCTGCGCGGTGCGGAATCTTTTGTGTCTCAAGGTCTTCGTCCTTCTGAAAGGGAGCGGGGGGAGGAGGCGGCCGGCGCTGTGCCTTGGGGATGTCCCCTTCCCCTGCTCCCCTTTCCCAGCCTTGTGCCTTAGGGGTCCCCTTTCCCAGCCCTGTGCCTTAGGGATGTCCCTTTTCCCTGCTCCCCTTTCCCAGCCCTGTGCCTTAGGGATGTCCCTTTTCCCTGCTCCCCTTTCCCAGCCCTGTGCCTTAGGGATGTCCCCTTTCTCTGCTCCCCTTCCTCAGCCCTGTGCTGTATGGATGTTCCCCTTTTCCAGCCCTGTGCCTTAGGGATATCCCCTTCTCCTGCTCCCCTATCCCAGCCCTGTGCTGTATGGATGCTCCCCTTTCCCTTCCCTTTGCCTTACGGATATTCCCCTTTTCCTGCCTTGTTCCTTATGGATGCTCTCTTTTCCCTGCTTCCCTTTCCCTGCTCTGTGCCTCACGGATGCTCCCCTTTCCCTTCCCTTTGCCTTATGGATGATCTCCTTTCCCTGCTCTC